TTACTTATAATAGAAATTTGTAGTGACGGAATTATAATTTTATGACTGATGTACAACAAAGAAAAATAAGATTTGAGTCGAAAGTTGAACTTATGCCAATAAAGAAAAATGATATTCAACTATGAAAAATAAGATTTGAGTTTTGACCACAATTATCTCCGATGCAAATACACAACTCGTCAAAACTCAAAACTCCGAAGTTATCTCCTTCAATGCAAAAATCAAATTACAAAACTTAAATGAGTCTTTTTTTTTTTTTTAACAAAAACTTAAATAAGTCTTTTAATTCGGAGGAGAAAAGAAAAAAAAACTCTCAGATTCACTGTATTTTTTTTACTCAAATATAAAAATATAGGTCTAAAAATATAAGTCTTCCATTGAATATGGAACAGGAAGGGGATCCTCTTCACATCTCTTCCACCAAATCTACCAAATTTATCAATCCAGATCCTTGAAATTTGATACAACGGCTAAAGTTATTATAACTTTTAAAGGGGGCCCTTATTTATAGTCATTAGATGAAATTTCAAGGGTCCGGATTGGTAGATTTGGTGTAACGTATATGGAGTGGATCCCTTTCCCATTGAATATGGACCTGTCTTCTCTGCCCTCCTAGTTCCCATACACTCTCATCCCCTCTTATTTGTGCGGCCACGGTTAAATCACGTCAACTTTTTATATCACTATTGCTTTTTGTCTTATTATTTCTATAAAAAAATCAATATAAAATATTGACATGCCTTAACCGTGACAGCATAAAATAAAAATTGATGAAAGTGTATGAAAAATGGAAGGACAGAAGCCGAGTCCATTGAATATAGGCTAAAAAAAGCAAGTTTTAAATAAAAAATGTTTTGAGAGACTTGGTGGGAATAGTTTTAGAACGGTAAAGCGAGTTTTAAATAAAAAAGCATATGCGATAAAAATAAACAAAAAGAGTTTTGGCAGATCAATAAAGTGATTTGGGATTCTACAAGTACTTTTCTGGTGCTTTTGAAGATACGCATGTCAGATTCTCATAGTGCACTTTTAAATGTATTTATGAAAAGTACTTAAATTTGTAAGTAAAAAAATATATATGTTTCTAACACAAGCGATTTTATAAACACTTACGAGCAAAAATACTTTCTACCAAAACGTTCTCAGGCAGACCATGAAGAAACATATTCCATTAATCTTTTGGAGTATGAGGGGGTTAGTTACTTGGTATGCGTAGTTTGGTCTATTCTTGAATATGGATGGTTGGTAAGTAGTTTTAGATTTGCAAATAAAGAAGTGATTAGTTTTATTAAATCGTTTGGAGTTTGCAAAGTGATGATGTTGACTTTTGTGCACGCACAAGTCAAATATTTGCACTCATATTATCGAGACTGGTTAGATATAACTTAAGTGAACATATGCAAAAGTTTAAGATTTATGTTGTGAGTTTAGTTCTTGAGTGTAACATATGAGTCCGTGAATTTAATTCTTATTCATAGTAAAGCCATAAATTTAACTCACATTACTTACAACAACAGCATTGTAGAAATCAAACTCAGACAACGTGATTTGTCTTTTGAGAAATAAACTTACACATATAATTATGGAAGACTTGAGGGCGCAAATTTGTTATACCTATACAATTTTTGTCGATATCTCACTCATTAATTACGTGATTGAGAATCTACCATATCCTGTGAACATGGGGCCAAATACAAACTTTTGCTACAACATGAACCCAAACCAAGGAGGGTTTATGCAAACAAGGAGCAAAATAAATATGATTCAAAACAAACCAACACACTGGAAGCCAAGATTAGGACTCAGGTGAGATTAGAATACAAGCTCTTCAACAAGCAACACGAGACGACAACCGCCATAACGAAACCAAGCAAATCCGCACACGATCTCACTGATCCAGGAGGCCAAAACGTTTCACATCCTCTGCATAGTCCAAATGCACCAATTTTGCAAATAAACCTAATTAGGACTCATCTTATGCAACTAGCAAAGGCCTTTTTGCAAGTGATTTCATGACAAAAGCTCTATAAACTAATCCTCGTTAATCAGGAATGAGCTTATTAATTAGGTTTATTTGCTTATTTGTTTGTCTTTCATCACCTTGGAAAATTTTTTGCTTCATATATCACAGTTGCGTAGTGCACCCGAGAAGAATTTTTGCCTCAAACGCCACTTAGATCCCACCGATCTATATTCTCTCATAAAGTAAGTGTAAAAGTTGATTTAAAAAATAGAACTTTAACGAAAAGCTCCCGGTACTGTTTACTTTAATGAAAAAACAAATTTTTACACTAAAAAGTCAATTATGGTACTATCGAATTGACCTTTTATTTTATTCTTATCGTTAAAACTCGAAGTTTTCAAGCCATTTTCATTAGTTTTCTTTTAAAAAAAAGTGTAAAAAGGTAAATACAAAGGTAAACGTAAACATAAAATTCCTTTACTTTGTCGCACATATAAAGTCAAACAAATGATTATGAGATTGACACACTTCTCATTTTTATTCATGATATTTAAAATAAATATAAGTGGTCATTGAGATTGTCTACCGTCAATCATTTTAGTCATTCTGTGAAAAAATTTCGCTAATTTGAAGAAAACACTAGTTCAAGTAGACGAGTTGATTTGACAAAAAAATACCCTCAATTTAACGGAAATTTTTCACGAAAGAACCAAATGATTGATGGTGGACAATTTCAGGGACAACTTCTAACGATTTTAAATCTCAATGACCAAAGTGAAGAGTTATGCCAATTTCATATATCATTTTTGCTGAAAAAAAAAACTTCTTTTTTCTTTGCAGTATAAAAGTTTAGGGGAAGAGGATGCTACCACATCTTAGGGTCAGGGCATACCACAAGCCTCTTTGAGAACTTACAGAAGGGTCTTAGCTCTTCTTTTGGTTTTTACAGATCGTCCATAAAAAAGATTTGTCGATAGCGGGGCTCAAACCTTAGCCTTAGTCTAGCAAAGAGAGCGATCATTACCAACTTAACCAACCCTCGTTGGCGAGTGAACAATTTTTTTTAGTATAACGATATTTTGGCGAAATGGAGGAAATTTATGCTTAAGTTACGTAATGAGTCAATTATAACATATATTGATATCAAACTCTGCATCCATTAGAATCCACTTACAAACAAAGAGGAATATCACTTAACCATAATAATAAATGACAAAACATGAAGAAGCTCAACCATCTAAAAAAATACAAAATTTGATGTCAATGCTAATATAACTTTACTCACTCTTATCTTGGTTTTTCTAATTATTCAAATTAATTATGTCACTTTTGGGGTTGTTTTGCATGCAATGTGGATGGTTGGGACACTGTGATTAGGCAAACATGGTGAATAATTCCATAAAAAATAAAGCAACATGTCTTGCATTGTGTGCCATTAAAAGATCCCAAAATTGAACGATAAGATTAGGGTTTGATCATGATGCGACACCATTGTTGCATTGTGGTTGTCCATGTAAAAAGGACTTGAACGGTGATCTTAAAGTGGGGAAGAAAATAATGGAAGATCTAAATGGGGCAGTGTGTTTTTTTTTGGGGGAGGGGGGGGGGGGGGGGGGGCGGGGACCAAACCCTAATTTCAGAGAGGGAAAGAGAGGGTCCCCAAAATACATGGTGGATTTCCAATTATGTAAAGATTCTTGATGAACATATTCAACCTCCCACTCACTATGTGGCTGAAAACTACTTACCACCATTTGCATTTACCCTCTTGTCTAACCCAATCTGTTTGTGATGCATGCACTGCCCTAGGTTTGGTGATATTTGTTTTAACCTACAAGTACTAAATCATCCCCTAACATCAATATGTAAATTAATCTTTGGTTAAATCTAAGGTGTCATGTTGTTAGATTGATTTCTATTTCAAATTATTGTTTCAAACTCATTGACTCTAAGTTTGAACTTCTTTCTAACGTTGTTAGAATGTTAATTTGCAATCGAGAAAGCCATGAATATATACTTCTGAGGTGATTCTAGGTTTTTCAAGTATGACTCAAACATACTTCTTAGGTGATCTGATACTTGGTTATTCAATATGAGATAACTGATTTTAGTGTAAGACCCGCATATATGTGATTCTTTCGTGTTAATAACACAAAACCAGAATAATACCCATAGCTTGCATGCTCACTCATTATTTTGTTTTGGTTGAACAAACTCATTTTCTTGCGAGTAAACATGTTATGTGAAAGGTAATACCGCTGAATGCGGTGAAATCAAATACAAGACTTAAAATACACGAATGAATGCTCTAATCACTTAAACTCCAACACTTCTTTTAATCAAGATGTCATGTTTGGTATTGGTACCTAACAAGGCAAAAACACAAGGAAAATTTGATGTAGACCCGTTTATTTTCTTTCTACACCTAACTTATTACTTTTTAACTTGAAATTTCATATGCGCCCATAATTTTCTTTCTACGTCCAACAAGACCAAAAAAAAAAAATAATAATAAAATCAGCAATTTGCAACTCCAGACACCCTATCTCTTCAAACCTCAATCATCCTATTTCCTACCCCTCCCCGACTCCCCACCACCACCTCCCCTACCACTCACAACAGTTTCAAAAGTAGGAGAACTGTATCCCCTAACAACCCACCATTAAAAAGATCCAAAAGAAATTTATGTCAATATTTATTTTAGAAAAATACACAATTCTATTAAAATTGTGATTCTACACATGTATTGTACAATACATGCAATGATCCAACCCATTTAGATTCGACTGGTTGACAGTTTCAGCAGAATTCGGACATTTATGGCTGGAGAAAGGTTGGGAGAAGGATAATGATTAAAGTCTGAACGTGAATTTAAAAATAGGAGACCAAAACAAAGAGCTCCCATCGATTCTGTCATTTCGTTGTTGATGTGAATCTATCATTAAAGTTTTTTGACATCTGTGTTGGGCTTCTTGCTTGCTAAATTGGGCCATGGACTTCTCTCTATCATGGCCCAAATCCAAACCACAATTTCTACTCAAATCTCAAGCCCAATTAAGCTCAACTGGTGCTCAAGTCCCTCCGTTCTCGCTTAAGCCCTGGAAAACAGACGACTGAACTCTTTCTTCTTCTTCTTCTTCTGCGGTCTTCGTTTCATCTCGGAATCGCCAATTGCTCTAGGTAATGATTGAATTTCTGATATTCTCGAATTGGGTCTGTAAATTCGAACTTGTTCTTGTTACTTTTTGCATCTGAACTCGTTTTTCATCTTGTTTATCTTAATGGGCATTTCCGAAGTGTTCAATTAATTTTCATTTCGGGCATCTTTTAATTTTTGGGTTTTCTTCTACTTGATGATTTATTTATGAAAGCGTTAATCTTGGTCTGAAAATTGGGTGAAATTATTCTGACTGGTGCCCTTTGCTCATAAGAGTTCTTAATTTCTAGTTTTTGTTGAAGTTGGGAGACTGATAGCTGATACTACACGTAGTAAGAAATGACCTTATACTGTTAGAAAAGAAAGAAAAATTCCAAGGTTATACAAGTATGGTAAGAATTACTTCCAGTTGGGTAGCCATGGATGAATCGAAAAATCCTCAAAACGCGGGCATGTAGTCTTTTCGGTGCTTTAGTCAGCAAGAACATAAGACTTTTGAACATGATTCTGTTTCTATTCTTTGTATTGTATAGCTGTTGTTAGAGTTAGTTAATAAGATTTCTTTGTCAAAATATTCAAGCAACATGTCATTCCGGTGGCGAATTCTCTTTCAATTAGCTCCTGTCTTTTGGTTGTATTTTCTGGAAATGGAAGGCTCCAATTAATCATTGCAAATTTTCATAGGGTTTACTAGCAATATCAACGTTCATGTTTGTGTTATTAAGTAGTGTCTGATTACTAGTGACTGTTATTAGTTACCTTTATTTTTACACATAATAAGATTCTTCTGATATGTATCTATCCTCCAGAGGTTCCAACCTTTACTTCTTCACAAAGTTTGATATTTTGCAGAAATGAAAAATGTTCGGCTTGCTTTACGATCCTTCAATGACTGTGTATCATGCCGATTTCATCAGCCACATTTGAGAACTCTTTCTACAAACAGGACATCAGTTACGTTTTTGTACAATCCCTTGCTGTAACTCTCTTGCTGGTATCATTTCCGTGTGCGTTTGATAATTTATTGTTGAAATTTTGCTTGAGGTAGTACGGCAATAGATTTTACTCTGGTCTTTGGAGGTTATATTAGGGCATGATTTGTTTTCACTTATATTTAAGCTTATTTTTCAAGTATTATTCAATCTGGAAAGAAAATAAAATTTGATTAAAAGTTTAAAAGCTTCAAACCGGACTATGCACATTACCATTTTTCTGTGTCAGGTGGAGGAATGGATGATGAGAAAAAATCTAATTCCTTTGAATCTTCTGATGATTTCGAGCGGCGGATCTTCAGTGAAACTTCTGGGGGTAGTTTTTTCACGAAGCTCGATAGGCTCGGGAAGGTTCGTGATGGACATGGTTCAGATCTGGGTGGAGGAATTGGAAGTGGAAGTGGCTCCCGTATACTCGACGGCTTAGATGAGAGTTTTAACACATTATCTGATGGAATGGATGGAAAATTAGAGAAAGCAGCCACCTACTTTGAGTTTGATGAGGAAGAAGTAGACAAAGATGATTATTCTTTCAGACCAGATATGACGTTTAAGCCAGGAATGACTTATGAGACAAAAGTATGTTATGGAGCAACCGAACCTTTGTTTTTTTTTTTCCTTCTAATTATTTGTTCCTTATTCTGTGGTATTACAAACTTATAACCTGATTTTAGGCCTTCTTATTTTTCCCAAGTGGAAAATGCATACAATTCAGCCCTTCCTCGTTTACAACTGAACCATATTATTTTGTTGCAGTGTTCTTGTTCTGTTTACAAAGACAGAATATATGGAGTGCAAGTTCAGTGCAAATGGAGGCCAAAACGAGTTAGGGGTGAGGATCGGAGATCAAGAAATACCAAAGAGCGACCGTTTTCGTTACCTAGGATCTATCTTGCAAAAGAACGGAGAATTAGATGGAGATCTCAACCATAGAATACAAGCTGGATGGATGAAGTGGAAGAGTGCATCCGGCGTGTTGTGTGACCGACGTATGCCACTGAAGCTCAAGGGAAAATTTTATAGGACGGCAATAAGGCCGGCAATGCTGTATGGCACAGAATGTTGGGCGGTGAAACATCAACACGTACACAAAATGGGTGTAGCGGAAATGAGGATGCTTCGTTGGATGTGTGGGCACACGAGAAAGGATAAGATTAGGAATGAGGATATCCGGGGTAAAGTAGGAGTAGCCGAAATTGAAGGAAAGATGAGAGAAAATCGGTTACGGTGGTTTGGACATGTGCAAAGAAGGCCTACTGACGCTCCGATTAGAAGATGCGACTATGGGACAGAGGTTCAGGGCCGAAGGGGTAGAGGAAGACCTAGGAAAACTTTGGAAGAGACTCTAAGAAAAGACTTAGAGTACTTGGATCTAACGAAGGACATGACACAGGATCGAGCACAATGGCGTTCTAAAGATTCATATAGCCGATCCCACTCAGTGACTTGGATTTTCCAAGTCTCCAACCAAGAAGTTTTCCTCACTCGGGGAAATTAAGGTAACACTACCCCAACCTACATGCTCCACTCAGAAAGCTTCAACATACAAGCTTCAACAAAAGAAAATTCAAAGAACTTAGCGAAGAAGGCTTTGGTGTATTTAACACAATACGTTGAAATGAAGGAAAGCTTATTTATTGATATCCCCGATAAGCTACAAATATGTACATATACATGAGTCAAAATAAACACACAAGAGGGAGCCTTCACAAAGGTTGCTTAGGAGAAGTCTCAGCAGTCGGTAGAGCCCCAGAAAAGAGAAGGCACCGGAGGGGGATCATTTGGAGCCTCAGTACTGGACAGAACCCTAGAAGGAGGAGGCATCAGAGGTTGATCATTTGGAGCTTCATTACGCGGTACAGCCCCAGAAGACGAAGGCAATAAATGCCTTTGGAACAAACCCACAAATCTCTGATGATCAAGTAAAACCTGACCATCAGTTTCCTTCATCTGGTCAAGCTTCCTTTTCATGTTTGTAGCATAGTCATGTGCGAGCCGGTGCAACTGTTTATTCTCATGCTTGAGCCCTCTAATCTCCTGTTTGAGACTCATCACTTCAGCCGCCAATGATTCAACTTGGCGGGTTCGAGCAAATAGGCGTTGTGCCATATTAGACACAGAACCTGCACACTGAACACTGAGAGCCAGCGAATCCTTAACAGCTAACTCATCAGACCGTTTGGAAAGTAGTCTGTTATCTTTGGGAGTGAGAAGGTTCCTGGCCACCACCGCAGCGGTCATATCATTCTTCATCACGGAATCCCCAACGGTAAGAGGACCAGTTGGGGAGACGAAGGATGGGCGCCATATGTTGTCTGGAGAAGGCGGGGCTGCCTCTTCAACAAGGTTCAAGTCAAAACGACGGTCGGAGGGGCCAGACATTTTCAAAGGTGTTGAAGAGAGAAGAGGTCGGACAAATCAAGATCTTAGAAGTGCAAGAATGAAGCTTCTACTGGTGGAGATTCAAGTGTGCTTTGGAACTTAATGCCAGCCCCTATAAAAATCTGCACTCGACGGAGCTTCAGAAATCAAAGAGGCGCCTGCTCAGAAATCGAAGAGGCGTTTGCTTTCTCAAAAGCTGGGCTGCTTAGAGATCACGAGGGTAGATCTCAGAAATCGAAGAGCCGTTTTGCTTTCTCAAAAGTTGGGCTGCTCAAAGACCACGAAGGCCGATCTCAGAAATCGAAGAGGCGCTCGCTTTCTCAAAAGCTGGGCTCCCTAGAGACCACGAGGGCCGATCTCAGAAATCGAAGAGGCACCTACTTTTCCAGCCTTGTCAGCACCTGTCACACGCACACTCAGCTTTGCGGAAATTATGGGCATTCTGTCAAAGACTTCTGGGTAAGTAGAAAACACATGAATCTTACTGTTCAATCACCCACTTCCCACACGCAACAATAGCTCATGGGTACCACAGATAACTTTGCCAAAGTTCTCTGCCAAAGTTGAGCACGTGAAGCTTGCAGCTCCCACTACATCGCTCTGACCAAGAAGGGTAAAAGAATAGCAAAGAAACAGCACTAACAAAGTTTAGACCCATAAATTTTTGAAGGTCTAGCTACCATATTATTACCCACAAGGGTAAAGGAACAGTACCACTGCTGGATAATTGGAAAGTCCATGTATGTCAACCTCTGTGCTTCGTGGCAAGGTAGACTAGCAAACATGCCCAACCTTTACTCACATTCGAGAAAACACTCCCAATAAGATTGCTTGCTCCAAAATCGAAGAGGCACCGTCCTCCGAATCTAAAGAGCCAGACTCCCAACATGACTACTTTCTTAAAAATCGAAGAGAGGGTAAAGGAACAGTACCATTGCTGGATAATTGGAAAGTCCTTGTGTGTCAACCTCTGTGCTTCGTGGCAAGGTAGACTAGCAAACATGCCCAACCTTTACTCACATTCGAGAAAACACTCCCAACAAGATTGCTTGCTCCAAAATCGAAGAGGCACCGCCCTCCGAATCTCGAGAGCCACTCTCCCAACATGATTACTTTCTCAAAAATCGAAGAGACACTGCTCCCCGAATCTCGAGAGCCAGACCCCCAGCATGATTGCTTTCTCAAAAATCGGTGAGGCACCGTTCTCCGAATCAATCGAAGAGGCGCTCACTTTCTCAAAAAGCTGGGCTGCTCAGAGACCACGAGGGCCGATCTCAGAAATCAAAGAGGCACCTACTTTTCTAGCCTTGTCAGCACCTGTCACACGCACACTCAGCTTTGCAGAAATTATGGGCATTCTGTCGAAGACTTCTGGTGAAGTAGAAAGCACATGAATCTTACTGTTCAATCACCCACTTCCCACACGCAACAATAACTCATGGGTACCACAGATCACTTTGCCAAAGTTCTCTGCCAAAGTTGAGCACGTGAAGCTTGCAGCTCCCACTACATCGCTCTGACCAAGAAAGGTAAAAGAATAGCAAAGAAACAGCACTAACAAAGTTTAGACACATAAATTTTGAAGGTCTAGCTACCATATTATTACCCATAATGGTAAAGGAACAGTACCACTGCTGGATAATTGGAAAGTCCCTGTGTGTCAACCTCTGTGCTTCGTGGCAAGGTAGACTAGCAAACATGCCCAACCTTCACTCACATTCGAGAAAACAGTCCCAACAAGATTGCTTGCTCCAAAATCGAAGAGGCACCGTCCTCCGAATCTCGAGAGCCAGACTCCCAACATGACTACTTTCTCAAAATCGAAGAGAGGGTAAAGGAACAGTACCATTGCTGGATAATTGGAAAGTCCCTATGTGTCAACCTTTGTGCTTCGTGGCAAGGTAGACTAGCAAACATGTCCAACCTTTACTCACATTCGAGACAACACTCCCAACAAGATTGCTTGCTCCAAAATCGAAGAGGCACCGCCCTCCGAATCTCGAGAGCCAGACTCCCAACATGATTACTTCCTCAAAAATCGAAGAGACACTGCTCTCCGAATCTCGAGAGTCAGACCCCCAACATGATTGCTTTCTCAAAAATCGAAGAGGCATCGTTCTCCGAATCTCGAGAGCCAGATACCACAGACCACTTTTTCAAAGTGCTCTGACAGAGTTAAAACATGTGAAACTGGCAGCTCCCACTACCGTGCTATGACCAAGCAGGGTAAAGGAATAGCATTACTACTTGTTGTTAGGGAGACTCCTATATATATGTCGACCTCCATCCCCAACGGACAAGCAGACCTGCAAAAAATGCTCAACCCTTCATCATATCTGAGAGGGCACTCCCAACAAAGCCTTTCGAAATATTCAGCTTTCTTTCCCCCCGATAATACCTCTGCAAACAAGCTATACTAGAGCAAGAATATCTCATATCATCAGGGTTAAAAGCAAGAGTATCCCATATCATGCTTTTTCCCTGTTTTTTCTTTTGACCTTGTTTTTACCTGCAAGACAAGGAGAAAGAGAGCAATCAGTCAGCACTTGGAATCAAGCTTCCAGCCAGGAACTGACTGCCTGGAACCCCTTACCTGATTACTTACCTGGCATTGCTCTCGAGTACTCATCTTCAACATCTTATGTTTCCAGGGAAGATTCTACATCTGCTTGAGGAACAGATAGGGCAAGTGCGAAGGATACAAGGAAGCATGTGGAGACAAGCGTAACAGCACACGTGCCGATACATCCATTACTCTGTCAAAAGCAAAAGTATCCCATATCAGCAGGGTGGAACGTACTCTAGATTTGATGGACTTGTTTTGACCCTCAAATTCTTCAGTCGGCCTTATACTCTGGAGGAAACCAGAAAACCCTCCAGCTCAGTTCAAGAATAAGCCTGTGGAAAGTTACTTCTTCAAAAGCAAAAGTATCTCATATCATCTCTTCTCATTTTTCTTCTCTTTATCCTTCATGCTGCTGCAAGATGGGGAGAAGGTGAACAATCAGTCGGAGCTCTGATTGCTTACCTTGTCTGTCACCTCTTTCAGCAGACCCCCTAGCTCGGCGACTTGGGGGACTCCTACTACATGGTTTGTATCGCGCTTGACCAAGCCTGAAACTACAAGTAAGCTTCAAGTGAAATTGATACATTACCTTGTGCATCTCCACCAGTTAAAGATACCACCCCTGGATGGAGGAAGAGTACTTCCAGAGAAGATGCCACATCTACCTATGAGACAGATAAGGCAAGTCAAGACGACACCACACTCCGATACTTAGAAGTTTCGTGATTACGAGATCATTCTCCCACAATATTTCCTAATGTCATTTGTACTAAATCATTCACTCGTACTCACTAAAGGAGAGCTTGAACCTATGTACTTGTGTAAACCCTTCACAATTAATGAGAACTCTTCTATTCCGTGGACGTAGCCAATCTGGGTGAACCACGTACATCTTGTGTTTGCTTTCCTATCTCTATCCATTTATATACTTATCCACACTAATGACCGGAGCAATCTAGCGAAGATCACAAAAAGCGACCGTTTTCGTTACCTATGATCTATCTTGCAAGAGAACGGAGAATTAGATGGAGATCTCAACCATAGAATACGAGCTGGATGGAAAGAGTGCATCCGGCGTGTTGTGTGACCGTCGTAGGCCACTGAAGCTCAAGGGAAAATTTTATAGGACGGCAATAAGGCCAGCGATGTTGTATGGCAGAGAATGTTGGGTGGTGAAGCATCAACACGTACACAAAATGGGTGTAGCGGAGATGAGGATGCTTCGTGGGATGTGTGGGCACACGAGAAAGGATAAGATTGGGAATGAGGATATCCGAGGTACAGTAGGAGTAGCCGAAATTGTAGGAAAGATGAGAGAAAATCGGCTCTGGTGATTTGGACATGTGCAAAGAAGGCCGACTGACGCTCCGGTTCGAAGATGTGACTACGGGACAGAGGTTCAGGGCCGAAGGGGTAGAGGAAGACCTAGGAAAACTTTGGAAGAGACTCTAAGAAAAGACTTAGAGTACTTGGATCTAACGGAGGACATGACACAAAACCGAGCGCAATGGCGTTCTAGGATTCATATAGCCGACCCCACTTAGTGGGAAAAGGCTTTGTTGTTGTTGTTGTTGTTGTTCTTGTTCTGTTTACGCCTTTTTTCCTCAAATATTCCTGTCTCATGGAAGTACTATGTGACTCTATGTAGGATCTGGATCTTACTAAGCCAGGAGTTCGTAAACTTCCCCGTAGGTATGAGTTTGAAGTAACTACAAAGGAAGTTCTTAGAAAAGCTGATTTCAGGGTAAGCCTACCTGTCAGTCTCCCAAATATATTGAATTCCAAAGGATTACAGAGCAAAAATAAATAAATGGAGGATCCCTGTTGCTTTGTATATGTTAAGTCCAATCTAAAGCATTGTTTTATTGTTGATGATGACCCTAAACCTATTTGTCCTGCTATGCATAACTAGCATTTGAGACCTAAGTCTATCTTGATTGAGACTCGGTTTTGGAATTATAATTATATTTAGTGAATATGATTTTGGATCATGCTGGCCTGTTGGCTGGATTTCTAGGTAATATTTATCATGGTGCCTCATGTTTTCTTAGATAATTGCAGAATACTCTATCTTTATTATATTTGTTGGTTGCAACTTGCAACTAATTTAGCTTATTCGAGAACTTAAATTTTAGCACAGTAGAAAGGTTGATGTAAAATGCTCGGCGCAGTTGCCTTGATGTCATTGTTACTCTCCCCCCTGCCACCAGATATTGTTCAAATGTAGGTTTTAGCTAATCTTTTTTTTGGTCCTGGGCTTCCACTGAAATCTTGTTTCACCGGTTTTACAGGTGTGCTTGCATATATTAATGAAGCTCTGAATTAGGCAGTTTTAATGCTAATTTAGGTTGCTTTTGATCTGATGCTTTGTATGTGTTATCGCTAAATGTATTATTCTGTGCAGAATGTGAGATTCCTTGCGAATTTCATAACAGAGGCTGGAATTCTCATCAAAAGAAGCAAGGTAAATATGATTTCATGTCGAGTGACGTCAACTTTGTTAAACGTGCGCTGAAATTTGATGGTTTTATGTTTCTTTACTCATAATGTAGACTGGAATTAGCGCCAAAGCTCAGAGGAAGGTCGCCAGGGAAATCAAAACAGCTCGAGCTTTTGGTTTAATGCCTTTCACGACAATGGGGACAAAATCATTTGTTTTTGGGAAAACTATGGAGAATCTAGATGAAGATTATGAGTACGAAAGTTATGATAACCATATGGGTGATGCTGATGGAGGAGATCCACTGGCGCCGTAAAGGGGTCAAACCCGTTATAGTGAGGTGCTCTTGAATCAAGAATTTACAGTTGACAGCATAACTACAAACCTGCCCCTACTCCATAAGAGTGTACAAAACGAGAAGGAAATGATGGAATCAGATGGGTGCTTGGTGGAGGTGAATTCCGGCTGGCCGGTAAATCCACGATCTGGTCGGTACGTAGGTTATTCAGTTTTTTCTTTTTCTAGATGACAATCACTGTAATAACAGCCAAAGTCGTTCGACTTGGTATTTCAAGTCTATTGGGTTTTGGTATTTTCAGTATATACATAACTTGTTTGTAGAAAGAGAGTCTGCCAAAGGAACTACATTTTGTGAGATCAGAATTGCATGAGTCACTCTTCTTGCTCTAGGAAGTTCAAAATTAAACAAAGATTGTGATCGGTCGTTTTTGCCAGGACTATGATCTAGTAGTATTCTTCTTCACTTGTAAGTGAGAGGTTTCGATTCTTGCCAAAAGAAGAATTTGAACCACATTATTGCTAACCCATTGTGAAGCTTAGCTCACTCTCACACCATTCGTGTAGATAATATCGCTTGTTAAAAAAAAAAAATTTGGGTAGTGCTATCCAAAGTCATTTTTATTTCTTACACATCCCTCTCAATTTTCATCGTTGATCAAATGAATAAAAGAAGATCAATGACACAAATTAACAAGAATGTGTGCAAAGGTACAAATGGGTGTAAATAGCACTATCAAAAAATTTTCTTACTCCAATCCACTTTTCATATTTTATCTTCCACCATAAAATATTAGTATCTTAACTTTATTTTATCTAGGGGTGGATATTTTTGCCAAATTGTCATGCCAACCGAATTGCCAACCATGCCATACCGATTTTGTGCCAAATTTTTTGTACCAATCGGTAATGGTACGGTATTGTACCGTACCGAAATTTCATGATACGGTATTGGTAATGGATTATTACCACGGTATTACCGTACCATACCGAAAATACAATATAATATATAATTTATAAATTATATAATAGATAATTATATAACACATATTTATAATATTCCAATAATTTGAAAATAAAACCCTACTTATATTAGCATTGTTGTTGGTGACTTTGATCTCTTAAAATTGTGGAAATCAAACACAAATGAGTTCCTAATTCTTTCACAAATAGCCAAAATATCTTTGTAACCCCCACTTCTATTGTTGCTAGTGAAAATGCATTTAGCCTAGGGAGGAGGGTTGTGGACCCTTTTAGGGTATCATTGACTCCTAAAATAATGGAGCCACTAGTGCGTGCTAGTGGTTGGCTTAGGGCAGATGAAGTAAACTTCTACAAGGAACCAACGGAAGATATGCTTCAATTTTACAAGGAAATGGAAGAAAAGAAAACAAGAAATATATGCTTTAATTTTTTTAGTAAATTCGTTACTAAATGGTTTTCAACTTTAATTCTTCTTACTACTAATTAATATGTTTTCTTTGTTTGTAATGTAGGCTTGACACAAACTCAATCTTCTACAAGTTCAATGCCTCCTCCAAAAGCTTCGACATCTTAAGCTTGAATAATTGATCAATGAATTCTCATTTTTGAAGTTTACTTCCAATTTTCATTTGGTTTGAAACTTTAATTTCTATTTGGATTGTTAACTTCTATTTGTTTTGGTTCGTAACTTCTATTTGGATTGTAAGCTTAATTTTCATGATGAATCTTGATGCATCATTTGAATTATTATGTTTGTGAATTGTGAATGATGAATAATAGATTAATTTAATCTATAATGTATGAGATAAAGGTACCAAAAAAAAAAGTTTTGCACTTGAATTGGGTTAAAAAAACAAAAAATGATTTTGTCCCAAAACAAAATGGCAATTACCATTGCCATACCATGCCAACCGAACTTTTGGCAATACCGAATTTCGGTATACCGAAAGTTTGGTACGGTAATGGTAATAGATTTTACCAAACTAAAAGTTTGGTACGGTAATTGGTACAAAGGTTTTGGTATGGTAACCGTACCAAACCCACCCCTAATTTTATCTTCCGAACTCAAATTGTTTTTCAAACCGTTTACTAATTGGGTTGCTACCTTCGTTGGAGATGTGTTTTTTTTTTTTAATTTTTACGTGGCATAGCAAATCCAACTTTGCTGCCCAATTGTTACCTTCCTCAGAGATGCTCCTACATGTTAGTTTGCCTAATCATCCACGTCTTAATGAAGTTTGGCCTATCTAAGTTAAATTATGAGTCATTTAGAAAAAAAATCATTTTCTGCATATGTGGGTTAGTTTACTTGGTCAAGGCATTGTGCTCGTTCTCTTGCACCTCAATTTGAATCTTCATTATGAATTAGATAGTTGGAATAGAATATCGTTGTTACACAAACGATTAAAATCATTTCTATAATCCTCTTGATTTAACAAAAAAATAATAAATAAACAAAGAAACCTTGTTTTGGAACCTTAGCCGTCGACATTTAAATTTGAGGACCAATGAGAAAAAGTCCTTTTTGTTTTTTTGGGAGAAAGGAAAATATATTACCTACTAAGAAACAAAACACAAGAAGGGCTCAAATACACACAAAAAACAAAAGAAAAAATGGACCCTAAAAAACACAAACAAAGCCCAAAGAAAGCCTTGGAACCCAGCACAAACACACCACACAACAAAAGAAACCGTAAATCACAGCTACTGTAGCTGCTCCTCTTGCCACCTACACTTCCCAACAATTCGAAGCCATGTCCGCCACAAGGACCTGCCATCACACCATCTCGAGTCCCAGAGTTGAGGAAGAAAAAGCCGCTCCATCCTCCACAAACCACCAAAATGATCGCCACCATAGAACAAAGGAAGCCCGCGGGAAGAGAGATCCCACGAACGACATCGCCAACAAGGGCGACCAATGGGAAGAACCAACAAGGGTCAACAAAGGTGGTGGTGCAAACACCTGAACCAAAGCTCTACACACCCTCCCATGGAACAGCGATAAATCGAGGTGAAAATTGGCGGAATCGAATTTAGGATTGGTGGAAAGAAAATGGAGCCAAGTGATGATGTTGGTATAGGGGAAGGGACCGAATGAGATGGATGTTAATGGGTCATATTTGAGACTTGGGATGATGAAAACAGAGTCAAACAAAGTACCAGGAAGATGAGATTGTGGGAAGATCTGGAAGGAAATGGGGCTAGGGTTATTACAAAAAACCGCTGGAGAAAGAAAAAGAACAAGACAAAGAGAAATCAAGGGATTGCCACTGGCCTTGCCATGGCAAGAGCCGGCGACAACGCAGAAAATTGAACACAGAGTCACTCACACAGTCGGTGTCCCTTCTCAAAAATATAATAGAGGTTTAAGCTTTCATGGTCCTATTTTCTGATGAATTATTCACATCTTCTATTTAAGAGAAGAACCAAAAAATAAAAACAGAAACAAAGTTAGCCACCAATGGAGGTTGAGATTCGATTCTCTCATATGATTGGAAGAGACCAAATTAGCTGATAAGAAGGTAACTGCAGGTTTAGTAGAGACAAAACTAGCTGATGTTATATCAAGAGAATTTTTGTATGACACTTTAGTTTCAACCAGAAGCATTTCCAATTTAGCTTTGGTTTAGAAATCTTTCATGCCACAGTGAAATTTCATCTTCTATAATCAATATTGGCACAAAACCGACCGGCATAACGTTTTTTCTTCGGACACTCTAATACGTTTTGCCACGATTTGTGTTTGTATATTGATCATTGATCAATGCCTATCAAACTAGTGAAGTATAGTAGGTTGTTTGATGATATAGTTAAGAAGCTTCTAATTTCATTACGGATGTTCTTTGATACTCTCTCGTTGCATGTAAAATGTCATTCTTCTTTATAACTATAAATCATAGTCTGACACATTTACATTCATATTTAAATGCGATTTTTCTGCAAAAAGAAATAACTTATTAATAGATATAGGTTTTTTTTATTAGCACCTCATTAAGTATTGAATAAACCCCACATAATATTTTATTACTAAATAACTTGTATACCCTAATATGCAATTACTATTTAGGCCATATATGAATTAAAAAACAAAAATTATTTTCTGAATACACCCCAACTATTTGTCAATATGTATTCTAAGATTGTTTTCTTTCAAGCTCTTGAAGATACTCTCACCTCCATTATAAAACAAAACCCTAACTAAAAGCACAACATAGTTAATGAAAAAAAGAGGTTAATTTTGACGAATGAAACATGAAATCAATGTTTTGGAGGCTTTGAGGTTGTCCGTAGCTCTATCACTTGGGTATTGACTACAACATCTGTATCATTTGTAACTTCGACATTGATTCCAACATCTATATCATCTGTAAGTTTGAAACTAAAATGTCATCTCCAACTTTTGTATTATTAGAATTTAAAAAAAAAAATTGCATGTGCTTATATATTTCTTCATAAATACATCTCTTGACATACAATTTCCTTTGCATGAAAATCATTTAAAATCTCTAATTGATATGCAAAGGGAACTTTTGGGTGGAGCTTTAGATACCAAGCATGAATCGTAACATTAAAATTTCTTCTTTGATCCACATATACTTCTTCTCATAACGTGATCCACATATTTAAGAAATCTATGAAAAACTCTAGCAAGCTCTTTGCAGAAAAACAAAACATCAAAAACTATTTGAATAATGTAATTAACAAAGAGTTTGATTGTAGGGTTTAAGTACGGTGTGAGGACCGTGTATGTAGAGGGGTGTGAGGTGTAAGGGTAGTATTGGAAAATAAGTGAGGTGTATTAAGATAGATTTTTAGTTAAAAAGTAGATGTAGGGTGTATTAAGTATGTGAGATGTAGTTAACAAATGTGGGGTGTTAATAAAACAAGCCTAGATATAAAGGCTAAAGAGCCAAGTAGTTGCATGTTCTCTTCTTGTTAGCAACAACACTACCAACGTAAAGGGACCACCCCAACCCCCTTGCCTATTATATTCCCTCTTATTTTTATCGTCGTCACCTACTTCCCCAACCCCCTCTCCCTCCCAATGAAGAAAGAGAGCCAGAAACCCAACTTACCGATCAGTCTATCACCCAAACCTTCATAAATGACACTTTCACATGAACCCTTCTCTCTCATCACCACCACAATCTTGATCACAACCTTCATATCTTCTCTCATCACACCACATAATTGGAGGGTGGCCAATGGCCTTGGCCTAGCCTCCACCACAGCCATCACATATGGCAATCCAACGGTTTGTGGCATTGTGGCTGAGAACCCCACACAGAGCATACAATGCTATCAAAACACTCAGACCACCATTTCAGTCCAACCCAATATTTCTTTTGAATCCATTTCTGGAGGCAAGAGCTTCTTCTGTGGCCTCAGGTCTGGAGGGTTTACCCTTCTCTGCTGGGAGACCAGCTTGTCTAGCTCAAATAGGTTTCGACCGAAACGAATATATCACAGTGAGAATGTAGCTTTGACTGATCTGGCTGTGGGTGATGAACAAGTTTGCGCCAGAGAAGTCAACTTTAGAATTGTCAGGTGCTGGAGAGGAAGAGATAATACTAGTGGGGTTTTGTTTCCCTCACCTGGGGAAGCATTGGAGTTTCGAACAATAGCATCGGGAAGAGGGTTTTCTTGTGGGATTTCGATGAATGATAGGAGAGTCCTGTGTTGGGGCCAGAGTGGTGTTGGAGATGATATTCAAACAGGGTTTGAGAATGTGAAAATGTCAAGCCTTGTTGCAGGAGAATCTCATGCTTGTGGCTTGAGTATGAATGGAACATTGGTCTGCAGAGGAAACAATGATTTCGGGCAATTGAATGTACCTTCAAGTACTTCGACTTTCCAGTTTTCAGGCCTTGCGTTGGGGGAAAATTTTACTTGTGCCATTCAGCGAAAAAATGGATTTGTTGTATGCTGGGGAGGAAGAAACAGATTTGAATACGACAGTGTTGTACTTACAAATGTTTCATTTGAGTTAATTTCTGCAGGTTTGGATTTCGTGTGCGGCGTGACAACGGGTAACTTATCAGTCATTTGTTGGGGACCAGGGTGGTCTGGTTCTCGTGATAACCTTCCACTGGGAATGATTCTTCCTGGTCCATGTGTGCAGGGTCCATGTACTAGCTGTGTGTACCCGAATTCGGAGACTCTTTGTGGTGGTTCAGGGAAAATATGCGGATCATGCCAGGTTGAACTCCCATTAGCACTTCCATTGCCTCCAATAAATCAACCTACCCAAGCTTCAGAGCCGGGTTTTTCGTTATCCATAACAAGAAATAAGCTTCTGTTGGTTTTTGTAATAGTTGGATCAGTTGGGGCATTTGCAGGACTCTGCACTATTGTCTTTTGCCTATGGACTGGACTGTGTGGTTCTTGGTTAAACCGTCATGACTCTGTGCAAACTGAAAGTTTTACTGATCCAAATGTGGGTTCTTCTGCTGCTAGAATCGCCAATGTTCCTAATGCTCCATTAAGTTCAAGTTCCATGAAGGGCAGTTTAAGTGGTTCATCATCAAAGCACGGTGACAAGACTCAGTCATTTCACCTGGCAGAACTTTCTACTGCCACCAAACATTTCTCAACCGAAAACAAGATCGGTGCTGGGAGCTTTGGCATTGTCTATAAAGGCAAGCTTGCGGATGGTCGTGAAGTGGCCATCAAGAGGGGAAATACAAGTACCAAGACCAAGAAATTTCAGGAGAAAGAGAGCGCGTTTGACTCCGAATTAGCATTGTTGTCCCGGCTTCACCACAAGCACTTGGTGAAGCTAGTGGGATCCTGTGAAGTTAACGATGAGAGGCTTTTGGTTTACGAGTACATGAGCAACGGTTCGCTTCATGATCACTTGCATGGCAAGAACAATGTGCAGGAAAATAGCTGCATTGTGAATTCTTGGAAAATGAGGATAAAAATTGCGCTTGATGCAGCCAGGGGAATAGAGTACCTTCACAATTATGCAGTGCCAACAATAATTCACAGGGACATCAAGTCCTCAAACATTCTTTTGGATGCAAATTGGAATGCAAGGGTATCCGATTTTGGACTGTCATTATTGGGGCCGGAATCAGACCAAGAGATCATGTCGTCCAAAGCGGTTGGAACAGTTGGGTACATTGATCCCGAGTACTTTGTGTCAAACGTTTTGACAGCAAAGAGTGACGTATACGGATTTGGAGTGGTGCTATTGGAGCTTTTGACAGGGAAGAGGGCTCTGTTTATAAATAGTGAAGACGGAGGTCCAATGGGGGTTGTGGAATACGCAGGGCCGCGAATAGTGGCAGGGCAGCTGCAAAGCATGTTGGATCAAAGGGTGGGGAAGCCGGACCCGAAGGAAGGCGAAGCTGTTGAGCTAGTGGCTTATACTGCTATGCATTGTGTGAACTTGGAGGGGAAGGAACGGCCTAGCATGACTGACATTGTTGCCAATTTAGAGAGGGCTCTTGCTCTTTGCGAGGATGATCCTTTTAGCTTCTCTACTACCACAATTTCCTTCCCCTCGTTGTAAAATTCCATTCCCAAAAACATTGTTCATTCTTTTCTCCCCTATTGATTCCATACCAATTATTATTTTTTTTTCTATTTCGCGCTTTACCCTAATTGTTATTAAGATTTTTTTTTTCTCTTGACGTGATGGCCTTCTGTGATCTTGTTTGAGGTGCTAAGAGTATCTTTTCACATTTTGCTTTTAACGTCGGAGTTGTTGAGGAAGACTTTGTTGGTGTGGGAGACATGGGGCTATGAAGATATATAGAGATTCTAATCAACACCATTAATCCCTACAAAGTGGGATCTTTAATCACTTTTCGAAACTTACAAATAGTTTGAAGTTTATAGTTCAGTTGATTAAGAACATTCACATAAGCACTAGAAATTTTTTAACGGAGGCACCTTAACCTCCAGTTATACTAGCGGAAAAAAATTCAAGATTTAGGACATATCTTCTATAACTTGTAGGCATTTTTTCACAATGATCGTTTATTATTATACAGTTATTTGAAAATTTCAACTGATCAATTAAAGTACTTAAACATGATCTTAATATATCATTTGAAGGAGCATGAATAATATGGTAAATATGTTATGTCTCTTCTGTAAGCATTATGACTTTTTTCTTTACACGACTTTTTTTTTGTTTGTTTTGGGGGTTGGGGGGGGGGGGGGGGGCAACTGCTCCTAGTGGGTCTAAGTTGCCTCCATCCTTGTATGCATCCGAGGATTCAAATTCGGTTACCTATCATAAAAGCATAGCTTAAACTAAAAAAATAAATAAAGAATTAACTCACGAGTTTTTCTATTAAAATGTAATTTCAACTAGCGGTTTCAATGTAATGCGTGTGAATTCACAATTTCATGATTGTGGCACACAACAAATCTGGTATGCTTATGTGTATAGAATTTAACTATTCAAAATCCATTTTAAAAAGAAAAAGAAATCACAAAGTTGACCTAAAAAATAAAAACAAAGAGAGAAATAATTTTGAGTCACACTAATTGAAAAAAACGCGTTGCCTCCGGCGGCTGCACTGTTTGATACACCACAGGCTGTACGGCAGCTATGTGCTGATGATAGCTTGGGGTTATAAAAAATATTAAGTCTTAGATTACTAGTTAACTTATTAATTAATTAGGTACTAAATGATAAATCATGTGAAGCAATAGGAAGTAGGAACCTACTATAATGTTTATCAACATTCAAACTAATGCCCTGGGAAGATTCTAGGGATCTTTTACCCAATTTTTTATCAAATGTTCGCCATCAAGTTAATGAGGTTGCCCATTGTTTAGCTAGTTTGTTTGTTGGTTGTACATCTTCAGGAGTGTTAAAACACCGTTCGCCTAAAAAAGAAAAACTACTGTAGGTGGCTTTGTTACATAAAAATTCAAAGCCACATGCTATCTAATGAACCTCACAAAATATAGGATAATTCTACTTTGGGGCAGGATCCAAGGGATGCAAGTTAATATATACATATATTTTGACACACCTATCTAATTATTGGACAAAAGGCATTCAGTATTACGGTCTGATGATATTCCTTTTCACTTGGGAGTGAGAGGCCTTAGGTTCGAATCTCGTAGATGATGAATTTGATATCAAATTAAACTACCCATTGTGTGGTTTTGCAGAACTTTCTCTCCCCTCAGTGTAAAAATATTGATGTACTAAAAAAAAATTATTGGACAAAAACAATTCAACGGCTATGATTCTATGGCAGAAAAACAAAGCTCGAGTGCAGCGGTGAATATTCTACTTGGGTTACAAGCTCTGTATTTCGTTGCATGCTCTATTTCTTATGCATTAGAATTCAACATTGGGGGTAGAAATAGGATATATCAAACACATAATTTCGGATACAACGACATATATTTTTATAGCAGCAGCAAGTTTACTGTGTGTAATATTCAACATCGAATATACAGCATATTATGAGTAAGCACACTTAATTTACTCCTCATTGTCAAATTCAAATCTCATTCTCATTGTAAAATTCAAATCTCATCAGAAGCCTCACAGATTTATACTTTTGACCTCTTTTGTTGTGCAGAGGAACAGCTCGGATCCCAGTTCTGAGCTCTGGGATTGGCAGACATGTTTGGCCACCAAAGTCATGATTCCCAGAAGTGTCATACTCTTTGACTTCAACTCTAAGCACAGCCAGGTCTGGAACCGTCAATGGGAAGATGAACTCCTTGTTCCACATTGGTACCCATTGGTCCTCTATTGGTTCGGTTTCCATCATTATTGTGTCCTTTGGGACTCCAGCAATTCCAACCTATACAAACAAACCCAATTAATCACTACCAAATTTCACTGCACTGCAATTTTGCAGTTTTTATATACTACAGGCGGGAGCGAAGTGTTAGCTCAATTTTTTCAAACTGTAATTGATGTGATAATATTTAATTTGTTTATATTTAAATTCATTTTGAATCTCATTTATTTGTATAAGTTAGTGTTATGTTATGCAAGGGTGCAACTTGAGTTGGGCCAATCCGAATCCGTCCATGTCCAACCCAACTTTAAATTCGAATAAGTGAGTTTTTTTTCAGTTGTAACCTGTCAAAACCCAACCCAATTTCAATCCATTCATTAATTGAGTTGAGTTAGATTGATCATTTGCCCGTCCATTTTCAACCCAACCCAACCTAACTAACCAAACTCAATCTAATCAGATTGTAACCCATATCAATTAATGCTCTTACTGCACCAAAGTCAGCCAAATCAAAAAACCAATGCCCTTTCTAATAATTTTTAAAATAAATTACTCTTTATAATTACCTAAGCTTTTAAAAAATAATAGATTTTGATTAGTCAGCTCATATTCGTAGTCTCTAAATCCTAAAGCTTTATAGTATATTGATTTATGAAATTAAAGTTAACTAGCTTTGAAGCCACTTGGCTTAATTTTATTAGGAATTCTTCGAAACTAAGTTCTCACAAGATTAAATTTGAAAAAGTTAGGCACTCCAAATCCAACCCAAGTAAACCCTAACCCAATTAAACCTGAGTCCAAATGAACCCGAATGAAACCCAACCCGAACCTGAACCCGAATTGTAAAAGTTGGGTTAGAATTGGGTTGACCTTCTAACCTGCCTAACCCGCTCGAGTTGCTCCTCTAATGTTATGTATCACGTCAGTTGAAAATAAAAAATAAAAAATAAAGTTGATGCATAAGAACGAAAGATGACATTTATAGCAGATTCTATGTATTAAAGTTCAACGTCATTGATGTATAACCAGTGCACAATTGACATGTCATGTGTCACAGTAGGGTAATGAATAGTAAAGATAAAAATGCATACACATGCTCTTTTTTGGAATTATTGATTTATAGCATTTACTGGCTAATATTTTATTTGTCGGACAATTTTTCAGACTGGCTACTCAAATTAGAATCCTATATATTGAATTAGTTTGTCAATCTAACAGCATAACATTCAAAACTGTTTGGAAATCAATAATTTCTCGCTAAATAAAGGATGCATGGGGTTGTAAATGTGAACGAACATTTTGTTGTCATACCCTCACGAAGAAGTCCGGTGGAGAATATAGATCAAAGTGTGTATGGTGGAAGTCTGAATGCCATCCTTCACCCATGTATACTTTTACCTGCTTGTCAACGAAAATGTTATGGAGGAAGAGTAATTGACATGATTAACAAGCTTGATCAGATGCATTCAACCAACCTTCAAAGTTGTTCTCACTGGTAAAAAAGGTTCATCAGGGTCAAAAACCTTATCATTTGGGCCAACAGCAAGCAAAAAATCAGGTTTTTTCACATAGCCACAACCTCCATTTGCTCTGAACATTCCTTCCATAATCCAAAAGTACTTTCCATGTCCCTTTAAGAAATACACGGTTGTAATATATAAGCAGGGAATTGGGGTGAGTAGAAAGATGAAAAGTTTATCAATTCCTCATTAATTCACTCAACTCTATTTGGTTATGAGCCCCTTAATCTTTTAAAATGTGCCAATTTACACTCTAACAGTCAAATTTATCACTTTTATTTTAGTTTTGCTTCTCTTGAATGGATAAAAATAATTCTCAATTTGACGGAAAAAAATTGACAGATTTGACGGTAGGCGCCAAATTGTCACGTTCTAAATGATTAGGGGGGCTCAAAACCACCAATTTGAAATCAAATGGGCAAATCAGATGAAATGTACCAGTCCAAAGGGCCGTGCTAAAATTTTCCTTTCCTAGCAAGTTCTTAACTACATGTTCATAAATGTCCAAAAAGTAGAAGCCGATTATCTAAAAGTAAACTACAATTTTCAAAAGAAATCTAACTTGCATATTGAATGCCACCATTTGAGCTCCATGACTCCATCCAAGCATAGGATTATAATTTGATGAGTCCAAACGTGTACCCTTTGGATAAACCCTCAACAAATTCCTCTGAGTAAACCTAGAGAAAGATTAAAGCACATTCGATCGTTTAGATGGTGAAAAAAAAAAACTTTACCATAAAACCAGAACTTCTTATGCATAACATCACCTGACAATGTCGGATCCATGATTTTTTGTTTCATTTTCGAGTTTTTGCTCGCTCAAGCTAAGACGTCTGACTTTAATTGGATCGATATGCCATATATCTAATCCACCTTTCGGCTTCCCTGCGTGAATCGCAATCAACTGTTTATACTCCGGAGTAGCATTATCCTCCTCTTCATCTTCATCATCTTGTTCCCTTTCCTGCTATCAATTGGGTAATGATACATTAGAAAAGGTAACATGATTTCTGATGCCTTATGCATATATATATGTTAGGCTTATTAGCACAATGTAGATGATTTCACATGATTTGTGTATCCAGATTCATCTCTCCGTCTCTGTGATTCATGATACTCCGGTGGCTTGGTCGAAATCAAAATCCTCCTCTTCAATGATTCCGGTGAAGGGAATTCCATTAAGAATTCTGAATGAGGAGAGTACAGCATGTCACCGAATGTCTCAGTGACCATCTGCAATCACATTTTAAAAAAATTTGAAGTCACAAAAAATCATTGAAAATTATAAAATTGGAAAGCCTAAGGTAGAACATTCTATTCACCTTTGCCACTTTGGCTTGAAGATTTGAAGGTAGGTGGTCTTCAAATGTTATGATAACAGGGTACTCAGAAGCAACAAAAGCGTTGTCCTTGATCGCACGCAAACATTTGATGAGGTCCACTGGTCTTGTAAGCGTCCTAAGGGGTTCGAAGAGATCAAATTCTATTATGAGAATATTGTTAATCCGTTAGAAAGAGAACAACCAAAGATTAAACTCATACCCTCCGTGACGAACCTCCACAGTATTTTTCTTAGAACCCGGCCACAAGTCTAATTCAATAACTCTAACACCTTGAAGCAGCGCGTTAATTATCGGTTGTACACTACTGTTACTGCTGAGTTGATTTCCTGTTAAGTAAGAGTTGTGGCCGGTAAATAGGAAATAATGAGCCAATGGAGAATTCATGTCATGGTGCACCTGAATCCAAATACATTTATCATCAAATTTCATTACATTAATCATCATTTTGTCACGTTAATATGCTATAGTGTTGCGAATATTTTTTTAGAAAGTTTAGATGTGCTAGTATTTCTAAAAAATGAAATAACCTTCAGCCCTCCGTCGATGTGAGTCGAACCAGAGAATAAAAAGTTTGATGAGATTACCTTTGAATAGAGAGGAGGATTAAGGTTACCGAGGAGATATCGAAAGAAGGCATCAAGGTGGAGACCCTTTCGTTGAAAGATGTTGAGATGCTTGAGACTATTGAAAATGGTCTGAGCATCCTCCTTGGTGGCACTGGATTCTCCTTGAAACTCAATCAGAAAACACTGCAGGTCATCGATGGTCATGATGCCATTTTCCGCGAAAATTTCAAAAAGGTTCTTAATATCTTCAGGAGGCTCTGCCATCCGGAGCCTAAATTTTCTCTGGAAGCAAAAGCAGACATTGAAAGACTGCTTATTAGACATTTTTGAAACTGCTTTCTCCAGTTTATTTTATTTGAACAGAGAAAGGATGAAATGAATTAAGTTTTGGTTTCGAGAGTCATCTACGTATTCATCCCGGCTTTTATGCACGAGTGGCCCTACACAGGAACTTGCATACATCAACGGCTAACAAATGTTTAGAATCTTCTGAAAGGAACATATTTGGCTTGAAATTCTTAGGACTGGCTTTGCAGCGAAGTCAGAATTTGTGCTCTTGAAAACTTTAATTCCCAAAAATCCACATTCCCTACTATTTCTGTAAAAGTCATGCACAAGCTGTTATATGAAAATTTCAATATCTCAATCAAACTTTTTCTTGGCCACAAATAAAGAGATGTTTCTTTATACCTGCCTTTCTCACTTGTACATTCTCTCTCGTCAGTGCAAATTGGCTAACAAGAACTTTATACTTTATATCCCCTATTCGGACAACTACTATGTTCCTTAGATGGCGATATGCGATTCCATATGTAAGGGGAGACCTGTAAATATGAAAAACGTTTTTTGCATATTGCCATTTCGAGGAGTGATACGCAAGGCATGTACATTTTATATGGTTCCGGAAAGAAAAAATTTCAAATATTTGGTTCTGTGGCCCAAGAAAAAAGAATGAATTTATCCATATCGATCTGCAGCTTGAAACATAATTGAGAAAAAAGACAAAGAGGGAAAAACGAAAGGACACTGTGATTATCTACTTCTAGAGAGAAAGAGAGCATGTAAGTGGAAGTTTGAATATATCAATAGTTCTTTTACAGTGAGCGAAATAAACAAAAATTATAGCAGCACTGCAGTGGGCAACGGAATAAAACTCCGATGAGCAGAACCAAATTAATGCTCAGACGAACTCAAATCGCATTAGAAGCCTTACTGAATTGTATTTTACTCCTTTGCGATCAAAGAGAGGGACTGCACGAATCCCTTGTCTCAATTCGGAGACTGGCAAACAAGTTTGGCCACCAAAATCATCCTTCTCAGACATGTCATACTCTATGTACCTCAACTCTAAGCAAAGCCAACTCCGGAACTGTCAATGGAAATGTAAACTCTTCCTCCCATACAGGTGTCCAATCGTCCTCTTTTTTCTTCGTTTTCTTCATTATTTCATCAGCCGGCACCCCTGCTATGCCAACCTGCCATAGGATTGACTGTTAAAATAGAAGCACTAACCAGTGCATACATCACCACATTATTGTTAATCAAGCAATTAAGTCATACATCAATTGGTTTTGAGTAGAGCTCCACATTAATTGGTTTATCATTTGATTAATTGACCATCTTACCCTAGTATAGAAATCTGGTGGAGAATATAAATCAAAGTGTGTTTGTTTGAAATCCAAATGCCATCCATCTCCCATATAAACTTTCACCTGCCACGAAACACAATTAGTATAACGACATTCTTTAGTCACGTACGCAATGACAGAGCTAGACATATATATATGGGGACCTTCAACCGGGGAATGAGAGAGAGATAAAAGTAGCTATGATTTGGAAATCCCCTTACTTCCAACTTCATATACAGAGAAAAGGAATGGAAAATGTGCTTACCTTTAAAGTCTTCTTTACTGGCAGATTTGCTTTAGGATCGAAAACCTGATTATCGGAATCTGCTTTCATAATAAAATCAGGCTTTTTAACATAACCGCAACCCCCATTGGCTCTAAACATCCCATGCATCAGCCAAAGAGATCTACCATATCCCTGCCATTAAACCAGAGAAATGTTATAATCTGTGTGATCGTTGGAGAAAATAAAACTAACAAAAAGGAAGATAAGCAATCCTTTTTCTTGGACTGAATGCAAGAACTTTAAACAACCTGCATATTGAACGCAACCATTTGAGCACCATGCATCCAACCAACAAGCGGCTTGTAGTTCGAGGAGTTGAACCGAGTACCTTTTGGATACACCCTTAAAATGTTCTTCTGTGTAAATCTATGAAAAAGTTTATGAAGTATAGATGTCAATACTGACTGCATTCATAATAGGAGAGAATCTTTGTGCATTTCATTGTGCTAGAGGAAAAATAAGTACCTAACAATATCTGTTCCATGAGATTCAGCAGCCTTCTCGAGTGCTTGTTCACTCAAGCTAAGCCGCCTGACTTTATCGAGTTCAACTTTTAGCGCGTCCTTTAAACCACCCTTCGGTTTTCCAGCATGGATTGCAATTAGACATTTGTAATCGTGTTCTACTGATGAAAATGATCCATGATTGTTGTTATTGTTGTCCTCACTTGTATCACTGTCACTCTGCAACCCAAAAATTAATCACCTAAGAGGCAGAGCATAATGGAGGTTAAGCATGTTGGTAAATAATTTCGCAAACACACCGTATCATCATCTTCCCGTTCATGGGTAAGTTCTGATGGTTCCTTCCCCCATAAATCTTCCTCACTTTTATGTGAATCCAGTCCATTTTCATTGGAAGTTTTATCCTTAAGGTACTCCTCAGGAGGTTTTGTAGATATAATAATTCGATATTTAAGTTCTTCGGGCGAAGGTAACTCTTTCAAACAACAGGTTTCAGGGTAAAACAACATTTCCCCAAATGTTTGAATGAGCATCTGGAAAATACAAAACAAATTGAAAATTTTCAGTAGTAGTTGTGTGAAGAACTTGATTAAAACTATTAGAAGATTAAGAAGTTCACCTGTGCTACTTTAGCTTGGAGATCAGCCGTAAGGTGGTCTTCAAGAGTTATGATGACAGGGTATGGAGATTCAGAAAAGGCATGCTCTTTAATTGATTTCAAGCATTTTATAAGTTCAACAGGGGTTGTCAAGGTCCTACATTCACAAATACACACTTTGAATATCTCTCTCATGACTTGGAACTTATGGCGGAATTGTTATTGGAACTCTAAAAAAGTCTTCATGCACTTCAAATTTAGAAAAACAGACCACTTTTTTTGTACACATAGTGACATGTTTGGAGTGCCAATAACAACTCAACTGAAAAAAACCGACCTAAATTATGAGAAATCTTTAGGTAAAGTCTAGGATATATAACCTTGTGTTTTCATCTCTAATCATGTGATGCTCGCTCGTGATGATTGTAGAAATTCGTAGGATAATTACATGCCTAAATTTGAAAAAATTGGAGCTAGGTTGGACATAATTGGAGATTAATTACCTTCCATGGAGAACATGCACATTGTCCTTTGTGGAATTTGGCCAAATATCAAGCTCCACCACTCTCACACCTCTCTTGAGTGCCTTTATGATCGGAACGTCACTGCAGTCACTACTTAGCTGATTTCCAGTCAGGTACGAATTATGGCCAGTATATATGTAGTAATGGGACAACGGAGCTGTCATGTCCTGGTGAACCTGAAACAAAATACCCAAACAATAAAATTATTAGGAACTGTCTTAATCATAAAATATATTGACCATCATTTGCGAAGTGCCATATTCAGTAAAGGAAAAATTCTTTAAATTCCAAAGATGCAGACATCATTCTGATAGAAAAGAAAGAAAAAAAAAAGGATGCAGACTTCGTCAAGAAGATAGAACATCAAAGTCTCAAATCAATTTAAGTAAAGCAAGATACTAGATATGATGACTAAGATTGGTAGATTCTATCTATGTCTGTTTTTGAAGCATGTTAGACTAACAATGTAGCATTCAAAACAATATTCTTCGACTCGTTACAAGTAGCGCTTTTTCTTATTTGCAAATCATATGAGGAAATAATTTGTTAAAAAGAGGAAATAAAAGTATTCATCATGTGTCCAACTGTGATTTGAATGGTTCATTATTAGTCATTAATTTTTCACTCAAAACTCATAAAATGTTAAATTTTAATATCAAGCTAGCTAACATAGTTTTTACTAAAAGTGAACAATATCTTGTAGTTTTCTGCGCAGATCAAACTGTGATTTGAAAGACTGGGGACAAATATTCTTTCACACAAAAGTCAAAAAGAAAAACTGTTAAAAAAACTCATTAAACAAGCTAACAGAGTTTCAACTAAACATGAGGAATCTTGTACTTTCCTACACTTTCTCGGGAAACAAACAAAACCCAGAAAACCAAGTAAAGAGAAAATCAAAAAAGAATACCTGATCTCGAATAGGGGGGTTGAGATCGGGAGAGAACAAGTAATGGTGGAAGTCTTCGAGGGAAAGAGTGCACCTTGTGATCAACTTGGTAATGTGGTGCCTCTTCTGCAGCACCTGCTCCACGATCCGCTCCGCGTCGTCTGATACCGACGCGCCGCCGCCATCTTTCTCCACCTGGAGCTCGGCCAAGAAACGGCGCAGCTGCTCCGCTGTCATTTGGGTCCCACCCTCAGCGTACTTTTCGAATGCTTCCTTCACGTCCCGCGGTGGCTCTTCCTCCTTCACCCTGAACTTCCTAGTGAAGCACACGCACATCCTATAACTCCCCATCTCTTAATCGATTAATTTCCAGAACAAAAACCAGAGCTTTTAGAATATGGCAGAGAGAGAGAGAGAGAGAGAGAGGGTTTGTAAACTTGTGGCCTTGTAGGAATGTAAAGGGTGTAAGCTTTGGGGGTTTAATTATATATTTGATATTTTGATTAGTGGATTAATTGTCGAGATGAAGTTAGACAGACAGTCTTTTAATATTCTCGTTTTCACCGGTTTGTTTGGCACCTTTTGTGTTCTCCTTTCCCCTTTTTCAAAACGTATTACGTGTGAATTATGATGCATGATTGTAGTGCTGATGCATCCCCTCAAGGTTGATATGGTTGTTTATTCTCTCTGATCACATCACTCATGCATAATGCGTAGGCATTTTTTTTTATACTTTTGTTTAGTTTTTAAGGTTATTGTATCAACGGTTCATAGTTATTCAATCATATAATGTATATATAATAATATTTTTTACATATTTGAGTACGTGTAATAATTTCTTGTATCATTGTATCAATTGTTGACGGTCATCTTATGCTAAAAAATTGGCACACGTAGAACACGGCTGAATGTAAACGCAATTAGAAGTCAAGAAAGAAGTCAATGCATCCCTAAAATTTAAAGCAATGAAAGGTAGAGATTTGATGATCTAGAGACGGGCGAGCTCCTACAGTTTTATTTAAAATATACTTAGAACGAGCAAAATGCACGTGGGTTTTGTTTTACTGAGCCATGCAATAAAGAAATCAGCTCAAAAGACCAAACCACATCTGAGCAGTTTCATGAGGTTACGTTGGTGTGAATTAATGAGAACAATTTATATCTTACCGATGCACACCAATACACCATCAGTGTATTATTGTGTCAATAATATAACGTTATATAAAGAGAAATTTATAGATACTATATTATTGATACGAAGCTTTACGTGAATGTAAAATCCTTCTCTAGAATAACAGTATCTTAATTAAAATTGAGGTGAGATACAGGGTAAAAATCAAATAATACCAAGACAAATAGATAAATCTAATGGCTAGCTTGGGGAATAGGGTCCATTATGTGTGAAC